CATCACAATAAGTAAGTGACGTCTATCTATCAGTGTAGAGAAAGATTTTAGTCTTGTGAAGTTATGATATTATCTTTTTTTGCGGTTATTCTGGTTTCATTAAGTTCAGTCTGGGAAATTCGGGTACTGATTAGGCTAAGCGTTTTGTGTAAAATTGCATTTTTCATAAGTGAAATTGAAGGGTGGTTCGAAAATCTGAGAAATTAAGTGTTCAGTTGAGATAAAATAATTTCAAGGTGATGCATGCACATGAACTAACGAAACGTCTACGAGCCGAAGAAGCGTCGAGTGTAACGATTAACGCCTGTCATCCAGGACTTTGCTATACTCGTTTGGTGCGATACACACCGTTGGCTAGAAAACCTCTCAACGTTCTATTGGCACCGTTTGCGTAGGGTTTTGCTTCGTTTTTTGTTTTCTTTTTACGGATTTAGTGGTAGTTCTGTTATGTGAATAATTTAGTTTTGATAATATTATTGTATCTTACAGATGGTTCATACTGAAGACACCAAAAGATGGTGCCCAAACGCCACTCTATGTCGCATTGTCGAAGCACGTTTCGGGTGTTTCAGGACAATATTTCAGGTGCTTTCTCAACCAGTTTGTTTTCTGATTTTAAGTATTTTGGTTTCGAGCAAGATAAATTGTCACTTAAACTTTGGGAATTTCGCTTTTTGATGGGGAAATTTATCTGAAGATATTGAAAATTTTCAGTGAATGTGCTCAGAAGCAATCTGCCGAAGTGGAGGATTGGGATAAGAAATGTGAGCAACTTTACGAGTATTCAATGAATGCTTCCGGTTTGAGCGATTCGACCTTGGACCTGAAGTTAGGTTCGGATGCCGAATGAAGTGACTGAGTGGTTTTTCCGAGTTGAATTCTTGGTGAGTGATTCTGTTTTCGAAGATGCCATTCCTGTCTTCATCAATATTTTTCAACATTGAGGCATTCTCTATTCGAAATCTACCATCAATTCGCACTTAACTCATAAATTTTGCTTCTTTGCATTACATTTCTTTTGATGGATTGTACTTCGCTAGGTTATTTTTACGATATTGAATGTTTGCAGTCAAATTCAATAAGTCATTTTTGAATGTTATTTTATTGCTCATTCTATTAAGACTAATGTTTCTTTGTATGGTCATTCGTTTGAATGTTGTCGTTTCTTTCATTTCTTTTTGTTGTTGTATAATTTTAAGTCTCATTGGCCAAGTGTAAACTGAATTACGGTTA